CCGAAACGGGCGGGAGGGCGGAGGGCTGCGGGAAACGTAGCGCGCCAGCGTCCTCCTAAGGGGCCGCCCCGGCGGATGCAGTGCCCGAAGGTGGGGAGGGAGGAGGGAAGGGGAGAGGAGAAGCGGCCACGTGCGGGCTGTTGCGGGAGGGCGGCTCGCAGCGGGGTCGGTGCCGCACGGGGCTGGGGCTGTGCCAGGGACTCCCATTTCCCGGCGGCCCCCGGGCCCGCCCCGCTGCTTCCGTCACCCGGCGCGGGCGGCACGGGGCACGCCGGGACTTGTAGTCCCACCCCACGCGGTTGGGGGGGGCGCAAGGGACGCCAAGCGGCGGAAAGTGGGAATGCACCCGGTGCCACGTGGGGTAACGGGAATGGCACTGCAGGGGTCATCCTGGAGTAGCAGAGAGATTTAGATCAGAGGGAATCTTAAAAAAAAACTGCTTTTTTTATTTTACAGACAAGATGTCGAAGGGACCAGCTGTCGGGATCGATCTTGGCACCACCTATTCCTGTGTTGGCGTGTTCCAGCACGGGAAGGTGGAAATCATTGCCAATGACCAGGGGAACAGGACCACACCGAGCTATGTGGCCTTCACAGACACAGAGAGGCTGATTGGAGATGCTGCCAAGAACCAGGTGGCCATGAACCCAACCAACACAGTGTTTGGTAAGGCTGCAGGACTGGCAGACTTGGTGTACAGAAACTCAGCACAGTGATAAACGTTACCTGATTACAATAGTTACTAATAGCAGGGTTAGAGCTTGTAAATTAAAAGCCATAATTTGTCTTTAGCCTGATTAATACACCTAGATTACTGTTAATTAATTTTGTATTATCTGCAGCTAGACAGTAATAATTCCAGGTTAAGGATAATATTCCACGATTTTCTACATTTTTAGGAAGAATTTGTTGTTTTTAATCATAAATAAACATAATAACAACGGTTCAATGGCATGTTTTCCAGATGCAAAACGGTTGATTGGGCGCAGATTCGACGACTCTGTGGTCCAGTCTGACATGAAGCACTGGCCCTTCACTGTGGTGAACGATGCTGGCAGGCCCAAAGTGCAGGTGGAGTACAAGGGCGAGACAAAGAGCTTCTACCCAGAAGAAATTTCTTCCATGGTTTTAACCAAAATGAAGGAAATTGCAGAGGCTTATCTTGGAAAGGTGAGGTTTAAGACTGGAGTGGAGTGATGTGAGTAATTCTCTGAGCAGTTGACAATGGGTAACTGAGCTGTTGGTTGTTATTTTGCAGACTGTTACTAACGCAGTGGTGACTGTCCCAGCCTATTTCAACGACTCCCAGCGCCAGGCCACAAAAGATGCTGGAACCATTGCAGGGCTCAATGTCCTGAGAATCATCAACGAGCCCACAGCAGCTGCCATTGCCTATGGGCTGGACAAGAAGGTATGGAGTGGTCACTGTTACCTAAAACAAGGGAAGAATTTTCTGGTTAATTTTGAGTATAAACAGGTACAAATCAGTTCTTTAATGAAACACAAGATATATATTGTCCACACAGTAGTATAGGCGTGAACATACTTACAACTCCACATGTTTCTTGGAATAGCTTCAAGACCTCTGAGTCCTCTGAGCAACTTTGACTCAGCAGTGCACCTGTTACGTGTTTGTACAGCTAAAATGTCCTAAAAGTCGTTATCTGTTGGAATTCTTGACAAGAAACATTAAACAACATTGGAGGAATCTAGTGCAAAAGGTGCTTAGCTAAGGCTTCTATTCTAAAACTACTAAAAGCTGTGTTAAAGTCTATATAATGTGTATTCAACTGTCTGGTGACCAAATAGAAAATGGTAACCCAGCAATAGGAGGTGAATTAATGAACATTGATCTCCCCCAGGTGGGTGCTGAAAGGAACGTCCTCATCTTTGACCTGGGCGGCGGCACCTTCGATGTGTCCATCCTCACCATCGAAGATGGGATCTTTGAGGTGAAATCCACCGCTGGGGACACCCACCTGGGTGGGGAGGACTTCGACAACCGCATGGTGAACCACTTCATCGCCGAGTTCAAGCGCAAGCACAAGAAGGACATCAGCGAGAACAAGCGCGCCGTGCGCCGCCTGCGCACCGCCTGCGAGCGCGCCAAGCGCACCCTGTCCTCCTCCACCCAGGCCAGCATCGAGATCGACTCCCTCTACGAGGGCATCGACTTCTACACCTCCATCACCAGGGCTCGCTTCGAGGAGCTCAACGCCGACCTGTTCCGAGGCACCCTGGACCCCGTGGAGAAGGCCCTGAGGGACGCCAAGCTCGACAAGTCGCAGATCCACGACATCGTGCTGGTGGGCGGCTCCACGCGCATCCCCAAGATCCAGAAGCTGCTGCAGGACTTCTTCAACGGCAAAGAGCTCAACAAGAGCATCAACCCTGACGAGGCCGTGGCCTACGGTGCAGGTAACTGTCACTGTCACTCACATGGGAGGTGGTGGTGCAAACTCTGCTGGGTTAAGTCTCAGAGCAGGACAGGTGTAGGCCCTGTGTTTTCCACCTGGGTCACTAAAGCTCTACAAACCAGCAAATCTTCCTTGGACTTGCAATGATGAATCAGATTCCAAAGCCATTCGTAGTTTCCACCAGAAGTCTGCTAATGATGGCCAAAGTCTTCCTTGGATGTCTGAGCGAGCCATGTGCATGACTGTAGTATACAGTTTATCTGTAGCATTGTCTGGTTTCTAACACTTATCCTTTCTCTCCTCCAGCTGTGCAGGCTGCTATTCTGTCTGGAGACAAATCTGAGAATGTGCAGGACCTGCTGCTGCTGGATGTGACTCCGCTGTCCCTGGGTATTGAGACAGCTGGAGGTGTCATGACAGTGCTGATCAAGCGCAACACCACCATCCCCACCAAGCAGACCCAGACCTTCACCACTTACTCTGACAACCAGCCTGGGGTGCTGATCCAGGTAAGCACAGAGCTCTGGGATGATATGATGTAGTTCCAGTAACTCCTAGGCCAGAGGTGGTGTGTCCTGGCAGTTCATAAATCCCTGGTTGCTGTGATG